TTTCGCTTTTTCCTCTCTCGGTGGTGTGTATGGGGAAATTTGCATATATATTGCCTTGACAAGCATTAATGTATGTAATCCCATAATTTTTTAATTAAATCAAATTGTTTCTCTCTCACTAAAGGCCCGTGGGATATTCAATGCGAGGATATTCAGACTGCTCCTCAGGTCCTCCTATGATCTGAAAGGGTTGAAAATACACCAATTAGAAACCCGCCAATTGATCACCAACCACGGAACCCAGGAAAATTTGGATACTTAACCAAAAATGAGTAAAGAATGGTTCCAAATGTATTCCTTCATATTTCTAAAATACTTTTTGGGTAGTTTTCAAACTTTTGCTGTAAATATTATCCTGATGATTATGAAATACTCCACCAAACACTGCCGTCTCCAGTGAAAAACTCTTTTATAATTAGTCTAATGCAAGAGTCAGTTGTTGTTCCCCAAACTCTACTTCTAATCTCGATATGATTGCATTTAGAAACAATTTAGAAGCTGTCACAGGGCGACATTCCAACTATTGTACGTCCCGTCGACGCAGTCGCCGTCAATCATAATCAGCATAGCAGTGACTAAATGCAGCACTAAGCAGGAATCGCTGGAACTATACTATGGTGTAACCATTCCGGTGTACCCAATGGAACCCACTGCCCGCCCCTCCCCCCGGCACCCCGTTCTGGTGTGGCCTTCCGCATTTCGAAACGATTAAGTGATTTTGTGCACAGTGCATGATAATTGGATTAATATGCGCCGACAGACGGAGGGAGGGAGCTCAACAGGATGCAGGATGATGTGGTGGCCCTGGCACCCAGCCACCACCATGGCCCATCCACAGAGACTCTCGTGCGTGGGGGTGGTTTGTGGGTTCTTGGGATTTGCTCTTCGGTATAGGGATTTGGAATGGGAGTGGGACTGAGACTGGCGGTCGTTAGGCGGGCAAATGATGGGAGAATCTGGGGATGCCCTGGCATTTTCTCCGGCCTGGCCTGGCCTCTCACTGGGTTAAATGCTCTCGTTATCAAAATTACATATATCATAGAGCTGCGCTGCGCGTTGAGGGGTGGCACGAATGGGATAAACAGAGGCTGCCCCTTTCTGGCTACGGGTGGTTAACCCTCCTCTGGTGTAAATCAATTTCAAAGCAAACAGTACTGCGACTGCGACTGGGGCTGGGGCTGGGGCTGGGGAAAACATATTCTTAGTGCCGTAATTGGAAAAGTCGGGGATTAAGCGATAAAGTTGTGTTCTTAAATTGATAAATGCTGAGCAGCGCTCGGGGAATCGAATGGATGGAGAGGACTTCTCATCCGAAAAATACCCTTTTCGCAGCCAATTTTCGAGCAGAGTCTGGAAGTCGGAGTCGGAGTCAGAGTCAAACAATTTGTCAGGCGAATCCGGCAAAAGCAAACAGTTTTGGCCCTTGGTTAAATAACTGTTGGCCACTTAGCGTTTCATTACCAAACGCTGCCGCTGCACAAACAAATTAAACCGTTTCGTTTGGGTTTTGGGCCACAGAAGCCGCTTCCGAAGTGCTTTGTCGCAGGTGAGCGCTCACCAGAGAGGAGCTCCTCACCTGAGAGGCGGTGGGATCAAAAAGCCAGCCGATTATTTGACAACCGAATGGAGCTAAGTGCGATCTCCGCTCTCCGATTCCCTATCCCCGATCCACGATCTGCGAGCCATCTTTGATCTCTGCTGCCGGGCTGCTTGGCTGCTTGTCTGCTTGGCTGCTGAGCTGCCTAATTTATAAAATAAATCATATGTGAATTAGCCGTCAACGGTGGATAACTCATTTGCTTTTAACGCCGATTTCCTTTTGATTAATTTATTTGCTCACGGGGCCCCCGCCTCCGCCGCTCGGTTGGTGTTCAAATCGATTTTCACACCTTCTGAATGGGTCTCTGGCTGGGACTCTTTTTCTGTTCGTCTTTCATGAGCATTTGGCCATCTCATTAGTGGATTTGGCTTTTGAAAAGGCCGCTTAGACACTTGTTGTCTAATCAGCAAAGCCACCCGCAATGGCACGTCTCCGTTTAGCTGCTTATGATGATCATGATCATGTGGATGATCATGAGGATGGTGTTCTGCTTTGGGTCTGCCATTGGCCAAAGTGTGGCACTGGGTGAAATCAGACCCCAGTCTGGAAAGGAAACGAAAGTTTCTCTTCGCGCCTTGATGTTAATTTCGGTTTGTCTTTGATGCCGAAATCGCCTGGCTGGTTTCGGTTTCGGCTTCGGTTTCTGTTTTCGTTTTTATTATTACCATTTTGTTAAGATCATGATCATGATCTAATGATTTGTTGTCGTACAGTTTTCAGCCTCAGCGGCAGAAACAACAACGGGGAAAAAAGGTTTTCTGTGGTTTCATTCAATCTGCGCGCTCCGATAATGATCTGGCGCAATAAAATTGAAATGCGTCTGTTAATCGCTTCGAGATACATAATAATTCTATTTTTTGCTGTGCTCGGAGGGAGCCTCCACGGAGCAACAATGAAAACGATAACGAAGTTCTGTCGGATGGCCGCCGCATATCGATCACATTTCGGTTTATTTTCTGGGGGAGACTCGAACAAAATACGCAAAAATCACAGCGGCAGTTCGGGAGAGACCTGAAAACAAGTCTCAAAACAAGACGAACACTAAATGCTCTTGTATTATTATTATTTCCAATCGAAGGATTGATAAGACGTATAGTATTCTTGCTAAAAAGCAAGGCACCCATATCTAGCAGTAAACTCTCTTAGTAGATTAAATAGTCAAAATGACCTGTTCCCTCCGCTACCGCCAATTAGTCGATCAATTATGAGTCGTTTGTACTATCAAAGTTCTGATTACTCGACTACTCGACTGCTCAGCGACTCAGCGTTGCCACGTGCTCCCCCCATAGTGGAATGGTCTGCGATAAGGAGAGAGCAGCCAGAGCAATGTCCCCTCAAGATTGTAGGGCATTCGGCGTAATAAATCTTTAGTGCCGGAGCTGAAGCTAAAGCTGAGGCTGGAGCTGGAGCTTGGCCAAGTCAAATTCAAATGCCGGCCACAGAACCATTGTTTGCCAAAAGGGCCGACGACAGCCAAAAGACAAACAAAATAACGAAAAAAACCAAAAAAGTCGGAGACAAATTCGGATCCCAGGACAGCGCCCGTCCCTCTTGGCTCTTGATAAGCATCGGCGGGCGCAAGCTGCGATCGCTGATCCGATCAAGAGTCGATATTTATGGCATGGCTCCGAGAGATACAGATACAGATACAGATACAGCCATCCCAGAGGAATGTCAGGATCGCGTCTGCTTAGCTGGAAATTAGAGCAATTAGCTCTGACTCGGGGCTGCTTCTTAAAAAATGGAATACCATTAAATATAACTAAATGAAGCAGCAGAAAAAGACTAAAAGACTAATCGTGAGGACAACCGAATAGGAATCGAGGATCGATGCCGCTGCCGCTGCCGCTGCCGCTGCCGCTGCCGTGCGACCTTTTTCCTGTCTCCGCGGTGGCTACTGTGGGCGTGCTGGCCTCGAGTCTTGGCTTGTAAACAGTTTCATTATCAGATGATTATGTAATTTATAGAGTTCCCCTGTCCCTACCTGTCCCGCCGATCTGTCCGGCGATAGGCGAGAGTGCCGGGACATAAATAAGTGTGTCTTGTCTGTCTGGCATAAATGTCAAAGGGCATTTAATGAAGTTATTAAACGCTGCCCAGCCCGGGGCGTACCCGAGAGGCTACCGTTTGAGGAGGCCACGGCCATCCCTCTGGTGTCGATCCGAGGTCGGTTCTGTAACTGGGACTCGGGGCTTGGCAGTCGGCCCTCGGTACCATTTAGCGATCACAATCTCCGGATTGGTTTTGGCTCTGGACCCGATCCCGATGGCGATGGCGATGTCGAAGTCTGCGTCTGCGTCTGCTTTGCATTGAGTATTGAGCCAAAACTGGTTAAGCAATAAAACGCTTGCTATAACGAGCAACAAAATTTGTAACGATTCAATTTAAGGCTACGTACAACATGAGCCATACGCCGTCGGCGAAAGATGAAATGGTCGGAATAGACGCGAGCCCCAAAGGCCGACCCGACCGACTCTAGGCACTCCTCCGCTCCTCCGCTCCTCCGCTCCTCCGCCCGCTGGCCAGCCCATTCGAGCCGACCCCCAAGCCATCATCATCCTTCTCCCCCTCCGAAGACTCCTCCGCTCAGACGCGGAGCCGTTTTGTATGTTTTTGGCGCATGTTGAAGACTGAATGCCTGCCTGCCCCGTCTGCCCAGGTCTGGACCCGTCCACGTCCACGTCTCCGTCCACGTATACGTCCAGGCCCGGCAAGCGGTTCAATTCAATAAAATTTATGAAGACATGACTGGCAATTGTACGAGTAGTTCGTTCCATCGACGTCGTATCGTATCGACGCAGCAGCCGCAGCCGCTGCCGCAGCCCCCATCCAGAGAGTTCGACGATCCTTGGCAACAACAAGAGCTACAGTTTGACGCCTACTTGGCCCCGGATTTCACTTGCATAACTTGGCCATAACGTGGCTTACGATTACAACTCAATTGTGAGCAAAACCTCGCAATTGTCAATTGATTTTCCAGCCCATATTTCACAATTAATTAAGCGCAAAATTTGGGAAAATGTCGGCAACATTTCAAAAGGCAACTCTCTTGGCGTGGCCTCAGAGGTGAACTGATTTCCGTGTGTACCTGCCACACGTTGCCGGGGGTGTGGCAGTGCCAAAGGATAGGGATAAGGATGTGCACACGCACAGAGGCCATTGATAGCCGTCCCGATATCGGTCTTGGCCTGTCTGTGGGAACTCTTCAGTCGTAAAATGTTGACATAAAAGAAATTAGTTGGATAGTTTCGGTTTCGTTTTCGGCACTGATACAGCTCGACATTTCGGGTGGTCCTGGGCTATGGGGCGTTGGGCTGTGGGAATTGATTAGAACGATTTCCCTCCTCAGGCTCAATCTATTTTATTTTTTGCTCTTCAAGTTGTTTACACTAAAAGCTTGTTAGTTCCAATATATCCTAAAGCCTGTTGTGCCTTCTGTATCTGGTATTTCTGTTGTACTTGGTCGTTCTGTAGAGACTGGTTCATTTGGCAGAGCAGCTCCATTGAGGCAGGCATTCAAATGCTCATATGTGCTAGCCGTATCCTCCACAAAGTCCCTCTCGGCATCATTTACGCATACGTCCCGTCGGCTCTCCAAAAGAAGAAGATCACTCTGAATGGTGGCAGCTATTTGGGTGGCGTTTGCTGAAATCGAATACATCGTTTTGGACTCTTGGGCCCCCTAGAAAACAGCCAGACACCCGAAATGTGATCTCCGTCTCCATCTAATGCCATCGTTCACACTTACCACTCTGGCGAAGCACTCAAAGGCCTCCACATAGTCGACAATTGTGGCGCAATCGACGAAGGTATTGCAGCCAGAGTCTCCGTCGTGGGACAATCCAACGAGCGTACTGTTCCAGCGGCAGTATATGTTCTGGCTGGCCATCTCGTAGTTGTTGGCGCACACCGAGTAATTGATCTCGTATGTGGTGGAAACATTGTTCAGGATGGGTCCATAGAAGCCGAAGCACATTTGCGTCGCCACAGGATTCTGGACAGACAGAAGCTCTGTCTGTTGCTCCAGGCGATGGATCTTCGGGGTGGTTGGAAGCTTCACTTTGGGCAGAGTACCCATCACCAGGCCCAGGCCGAGCATCGCCAACAACAGGGAGGTTTTCGAAAACATTGCGAAGTCTCTCGTTGAACTCACAGTTGGATAGAAATGGATAAGTGCCGGGCCTTTTATAGCGATCATACCAGACCCCAATCTTCATCTGCTCTAATTGTGTCTTGTCGAAGGAAATGTCAAGTCTTGAGGTCCGTATCTCTTAATTAATACTCGTAGTTGTTGTCAATCCATCCGGTTAATTTAGGAGAACATTTCCAATTAAATCAGATTTTCTTGCGTGAGGATTCCATCTAAGCCCTGTACTCAATCGGACAAAACCGTGTGCAGAGTGATACATATATCTAGCGATGTCCTTAATATCTGAAATCGGACTACGATAAATGTATAAAGATGAGAATAAATCAGATTATATAAAAAGTTGTAATAATATTATATATTCTCTGATAGAGAAATCCTTGAATCTTCCAAACATGATCTTTACTTCGTGTTCCTTTTGCAGTCAATCAAAATTAAAATTCAAATGTAAATGATCCCAAGGACTAACACAAGTCGGATTCTTCAGTTTAAGGAATTATCTATCCAAAGCTCTTCAAATTGTGAACCAAAAAGTTGAGAAATTTGTGGTATTGACCGATGGTCCGTTTTGAGAACACTCGTGAAAAAGGGCGGACCATATCCTGTAGATGTATTCCATCGTTCATATAAATGTGCAGTTGTATGCAAAGCTTTGGCCCCCGAAATGAATCGTCCTTTCTTGTTTGCAAATGAATTTTTTAATCACATCTCAATGATCTGTCAATCTACCAACATTTAACAGCTCGAAACGGATATCTTTACAGCAATCAATCTTCCCAATCAATAGTTATATAAAATACCTTTCTCTTCTTCGAGAATCAGCAAACACGGGTGTATAAATAATACGAATTAATGAATGGATCAACTATAGACAACCGAGTCTCGAAAGAACTCTATCTCTATCAAATCTAAGCCATAATACAGACGGACTTCTCTATTACGAAGTTTTCTATACAACGAATTTGTTTCCAGATAGTTATATAAAATACCTTTCTCTTCTTCGAGAATCAGCAAACACGGGTGTATAAATAATACGAATTAATGAATGGATCAATTATAGACAACAGAGTCTCGGAAGAACTCTATCTCTATAAAAACTAACCCAAAATACAGACGGACTTCTCTATTACGAAGTTTTCTATACAAGGAATTTGTTTCCAGAACACGGCATTGCTGTATTCTCCAAAAATGAATTCTATATTACGAGGTATTATTTCCTTGAGGTTCGCTATACGGAAGTTCGACTGTATACGATTTATACGACTTATTAGAAGAGTTTAAACTCCAAGTTAGATTTTCCCTGAGGTTTTTATTCATTGAATTTACAAGTATATGTTTTTTTAGGCTTATATATATTTTGTCGTATCTGATGGGGCCCATGTTGTTGTTGGAGCCAATGTTGGAGGACCAACTGCGATATCGCCCCTTAAGCAGGCATTCAACTGCTCATAGGTGTTGGTCGTGCGTTCCACATATGTCCGCTCCGCTTCGTTCACGCAGAGGTCCTTCTTGCCGTCGATAATTTGATAGTCGCCCTGGATCTTAGCACCCAGCTCCGTTGCCGTGCTCGAGATGTTGTAAAAGACCTTGGCATCGTCGGCAGCCTGAAAAGAAACGAAGCTCGTTGAAATATATTTCAATAGCGAACGACTGTCCATCACGTACCACAGTGGTGGCGCAATCGAGTCCTGACAACACATCCTCGAGGGGCATCTTCGAATATGACCAATATTGACACTTTTGTAGCTCTCTGCACGAGTTCTCGGCACTATTCACGATGTCCTGGAAATCGGAAGAGTACTTGACATCAATTGCGGCACTGCCACTCTCATAGGTGGTGATGCAGGCCTCGAAATCGATCTCGTACGCGGTGTTGATGGCATCCAGAATGGGAAGGTAGTTGCTGAAGCACAGATTTGACGACTGGCTATGGGCGCTGGCCAGGTCCTGGCTCTCCGCCTTCAGCTCCTGGATGTGGGCCTGCGTCTTGTGGGCGGGCGCCTGGAGACGGGCGGCCAGGGCAATGCTTAGGCACAGGGCGAGCACCACGATCGGGGATGACTTCTGATACATGTTGGGTACAGAACTTGTCTGACATCGATCACCGATGCCCGTATTTATACGCTGGTTCATCGCACATCAGACCTTCTGACTTTATCTTTTAATTACTCGACGCTGTTGTTCTTATTATATGTCTGAAATAATCAATTTGGCTCAATTTTATCTTAAAATAAGTACTTCTTCCCAAACTTATTTCGACTCGCAAGGCGAATGATTCATTCCCATTCTGTCTTCGTAGAATGATAGGCACACTTCACGGACTATCCTAACGATTTCCATGTAAAAAACTGCTAATAATTATTAACAGATATAGGAAGTCCTTCCTACCTTTTAAATTAATTCTAAAATAACCACTATTGAATTTCTGGAAATGACACTTTAATTTGCAACATCACTATTTTGCAATCAGAAAAATATTACAGTAGCAAAAGAAAAGCTACCGGTGGAGTTGTGGCTTTTTTTTATAAAACTAGCCCCAACAATCCGTCAATTGGACACGGTGGTGGTGGGCTGGGCCCAGTCCTCGTCTTCCAAGCAGGCACTCAGCTCGTCAAAGGTGGCCCCAGAACTTTCCTTGTACGCCCTCTCCGCCTTGGTCTGGCACGTATCCAGATCGGAGTCGACGAGAGCGAGCTCCGCAAGCAGCTGTTTGTTGAAGTCGGTCGCATTCTGGCCAATGATCGTCAGAATAGCCGATTGCTCGGGAGCCTGTACGGATCGAGGAATGGAAGCAGAATGGAAATGCATTATTGCGTTATTTACATTCTGATTCCGAGGACTGTTTCTTCACTTACGGTCGCGGCAAAGCACTCGAAGGCCTTGGAGTTTTCCACCTCGTAGTCGCAACGCTCCAGGGCGGCACAGGTCTCCTTTGCCTTGGAGCTAATTCCATTGCGGGCGATGCTGTAGCTGGTGTCGATCAGCCATTTGGAGGCATTGAACCTATCGGCGCAGACCTTATAATCCGCCTCGTACTGGTCGGAGTGTCCCTTAAGGATGGGCAGGTACCAGTCGAAGCAGTCCAGGTTGAGGGTGGTGGCCGTGCGCAGGCTCTGCGACTGCAGCATGAAGTCGATCAGGCTGGTGGAAGAGGCGATGTCGGAGCTGGGCGCTGCGGCGGCCAGCGCGACGAAGACCAGCAGAAGAGTCGAGGCTCTGGAGAACATTTTTACTTGATCCGCTTGGTGACTGAACTGTGGCGGGAAACGTATAATGTTTGCCTTTTATACAGCCAAATTGAGATTGCTTCCGGTAATTTATGATCGGCCTATTTTCAGGTGTACTTTTGGTGCCATATTTATTGTTGTATTCTAAATAATATATTGGCGCTCCGCTCTTATCAGAGCTGCGTTCTTCCCCACAGAGAACGTCATATCATTTTTCGACTAAGAAACATGAGTTGTTCTAGGAATTATTTCAATCTTTGCAAAATATTTTAAATTTAAGATAAAAATACGTTCACATAGATAATATAATACAATCTAAATTCCCAACGGCTTTGCAGAGCTACCAGCGCCCTCTGTTGACAAGGGGCCATACTACGAATATCGATACATTTTTTTGACACTATCGTTGTAGGATCTTTTACATTGCTCCATAGTTCATCTTGCTGAACAACAGCCAACGTTATATAGAATGCAATAAATGCAATTATTAAAATTAAGCTAATCACTTAGGAAATTGATTCATCACTCGTATAAAATTATATGGGCAGGGCTGAGAGATCTATCTGGCTAGTAATATTCGATGGAAGATCAAAATCGAGGAATATGGTTTCCCATCCCTGACGCAGCACGATTAACCCATTATAAGCCAAGGGGGAATTTTTATTTTCCACCGAATCTAATAAACATTGAATAATTTCAGCGCAGTGCAGGTAACACATATCTAGATTTTTTAGTTCAGACGAAAGATTTCATGGATCAGCAAGAGCAATTTACAATCAGTAATATTGGCCGAGATTTACCTCAAGTCGTTCAACTATTTAAATAGAAGGGGGATAAGTGGGCTAATTTCGTTTTTTCATCGGTGCTCTCTTCTCCGATTAACGATAAGCGTGATGTGACCACCAGTGCTGCCGATTACGCTTTTTTCCCGTCAGATCTGGCTTTTTAAGTACCATATTACGGAATAATATGTGAATTGCGGTAAGCGGGAATTCTGGATTTTGTACAATTGTGTTTCGCTTTTCTCAGCTTTTTTAATGTTGCCACCGGTTATTTAGAAGGTGTGAAAATGTGGCTGGTAAGCCATAAAAAGCCTTGAAATTGACTACGAAGTTCCACATAATTAGCATGAATGGTACGACCATTGTGTTACGAATGCGAATCAGAAGCTAGCCCCACAGTGGATGAGTTAAGAAAAATTGTATAAAATACATATTAAATATCACTACAATACGAAATTGTTAACACCATTATTTGTTTTTTGTTGTTTGAAAATTTTCAGCTTTTTTTTATTAAATTTAGAAACAGCTTTTTTCATAAAAAGTTGGCAGCACTGGTAACCACAGTGCACCTTTGTAAGTGTATGTGTCAGCCAGGAACTATCAAAATATACGAAAAAATATTATTTTCGTTTCGTCACTGCGCGGAAAGTGCTTCCGAAAGTTTTATTCAACGCCCCGGTAGTCCGCCCATCGAGTAAATGCGGTTTCGGTGATGTGCAAAACGAAAGCAGAAGACATTTTTGGTTCTTAAATTTTACTTACGGCGCACGCACACATACACACACGCACCGCTTGAGAGAAGCAGCAGCACACACAACCACAACCAGCCATCAGCAAGAAGAAGAGACGCAGCAGCGCAGCGAAAAAGCAACGAACGAGGAGACAACGACGTCGGTTGACTGGCGGCGAGGCGGGCAAGCGACGAGGAAGACCATCAACTGTAAATTTGCGAGGTGAAAAATAATGCGAGTGAAGGTTTCCTTTAGCTGAGCGCCGAAAAGTTCATAAATCTCGTGTCCGAGTGTGTTTTTTCATAGGCATTTCGTGGCCAGGGCCCCGCACCGCCAGCTATTTTCTTTTCCCTCTTCGCTTTTCTGTGCTGCCAACTGTGCGAGTTATTTGCTAAAGAACCAGACGCGGGGGATAATTTTTGTGGATGCTGTCGCGCACCGAAATCGCGCGAAAAAACAAATTTGAGCCAAATTCTGAAGCTTACGCCTACGCGGGGTCAGCTCAGCTACGCAGCTCAGTCGGCGTGGGGGCATGTGGGCGTGCCGGCGCAATAGCAGCTGTATTTCGGCTAAATTTAGCCATCGGTAGTCGACGGAGAGAAAGGACCGACCGACCGACCACGCGTCCTTGATAAATCGATTGGCAAACCGGAAGCGAAACAACAAAAGTAATGAAAATAGTCGAAAGCTGCACATGTAACGGCAAGGGGGGAAGGGTATCCTGGGGAGGGTATCCGATCCGAGTGCGGGGAATGCTTGTCGCGCGCAAAGAGTTCAAGTTCAAGGCATACACATGTACATATGTATATGCATGAGCAAGTGAATATTGATTCCGATTCGACTAATTCCAATTAGTGCTTCTTCCCTTGCAGGACACGCATCTCTTGGCGGCAGAAGAGAGCAGACCGACAGCCAATTCCTCCCAACGCCAGCACACACACAGTATGTTCAGTAGAAATGGGCGGATTCCTGGATAAGCCGAAAACCGCCAAACACAATGATCACGGAGAGGGCAACAAGCTGCTCTTCGGCGTCAGCTCCATGCAGGGCTGGCGCTGCGAAATGGAGGATGCTTACTATGCCCGCGTGGGGCTAGACAATGCCCTGAACGACTGGAGCTTCTTCGCGGTGTTCGACGGGCATGCCGGCTGCAAGGTGTCGGAGCACTGTGCCAAGCATCTGCTGGACAGCATTGTGCACACGGACGAGTTCATAAGCGGCGACCATGTGAAGGGCATACGCACTGGCTTCCTGCGCATCGACGAGGTGATGCGCGACTTGCCCGAGTTCACCAAGGATTCCAAATGCGGCGGTACCACCGCCGTGTGCGCCTTTGTCAGCTCGACGCAGGTGTATATCGCCAATTGTGGGGACTCTCGTGCCGTGCTGTGTCGACAGGGGGTTCCGGTGTTTGCCACGCAGGACCACAAGCCCATTCTGCCCGAGGAGAAGGAGCGCATACACAATGCCGGTGGCAGTGTGATGATCAAGCGCGTAAACGGCACCCTGGCCGTGTCCCGAGCCCTTGGCGACTACGACTTCAAGAACGTCAAGGAGAAGGGGCAGTGCGAGCAGCTGGTATCACCCGAGCCGGAAATCTTTTGCCAAAGCCGCCAGGACACCGACGAGTTCTTGGTGCTCGCCTGCGACGGCATCTGGGATGTAATGACCAACGAGGATGTGTGCAGCTTCATCCATTCGAGGCTCAAGGTGACCAGCAATCTAGTGAGCATTGCCAATCAGGTGGTGGACACTTGCCTGCACAAGGTGAGTAGTGATCTACAGATCATACCAGCTGGTCTCTGTCTCTGGCTCTGACACCAAATCTCTTTCTTTTGCGATCACAGGGCAGCCGCGATAATATGAGCATCATTATTATTGCCTTCCCCGGAGCACCGAAGCCAACCGAAGAGGCGATAGAGGCTGAGCATCGGCTGGAGAAACAAATCGAGAAGATCACAAGAGGTTGTCTAAGTCGTCTACTCTGTTTATAACTAATCGTTAACTATTGATCTATGGCGTTGTAGTCTCTGTGTGTCTCTCTCTCTCTCGCCCCCTTTGAAAGTACTCCATTGACGCGCGCGGTCAGACGAAATACGTATACATTGTACCTTAAAAGTAACAAGCCCATACTCGTACAACAGGGAAAATACCCCCAATCTGTCCCTCCCCAAGTGGCTCATCTAGCTCATCCTTAGATAGTCATGTTTCTGCATATCCGGCAATTCAAATGCCCCCGATGATTCCAAAGAATAGTTCCTTCCAAGTAGATCGAAATCCAACCTAACCAAAACATTGCCATTACCAATGCCACTCAGATATATATATATAATTGTATATAGTTATGTAAATGTCCTACTGTGTGCGTGCCTGTGTGTGTGTGTGTGTGTGTGTGTGTGTGTGTGTACCTTACCTATATCCTATCGCTAATGCATAGTAAATAACCGTATAGCGTGTTGGTTTGTCATATCTGCTGGCTATGCGTGCCGCTGACCCGAACAAATGAATGTGTATGCGTGTGTGTGTGTGAATGCGAACTATATAGTATTATTTATACACGTATCTGTGTGCTACAGCAACTGCCAAAAGCGTTCCATGTATGCGCGAAATCCAGCCCATTTAGTTGTAGCATTACATAAGCATACAACCTAGCTATCCCCCAAAGAGCGACCATAGATATTAACAATTATCGATGAACCTGAGCCCTTAAGTTAAGTAGTCAATTGACCCGTCTGCATATACATACACAGCTTTGTATATACTGATACCCACTGATGACGCATGCCCCGATGCAAGTCAATCAAAGAATATTGCAATCTCAAACGAGCCCAGGTATTGACGACACTCAAAATAAATAAGAACACTTGGAATTGATGTAATTAGTAGGCATAGCAAATTAACACTTAGTTTCTAAGCGAAACGAGTTCAGAGAAGAGAGCCCCCAAAGTAGATATTTTTTGTAAAATTTGTTGGGAAAGCCTTTAAAGGAACTATTGACTTTATCCCGGTACTGCCGAAACAGATATATTTTTACTAAAAAAAGTACCCGCTCAGAAGGCAGAGTCGATTCAGTTGAAGTATTACCTCCCAATTGAATTGAATGAATATGTACCATAGATATACACAGCAATAATAGGATATCTGTAGATCTCTAAGAGTTTAGTGATGTGACGCCCACAGTATTCGTGACACCCAAGTGAATTTCGGCAAAATGTCCCTGGCAAAAGGCCGAGGAGAGTGTAGACGTGACCTTGCTGATAAACATAGACAAATACTTTAATCCAATTGTATACAATATGATTTACACATAGCATATAGAACATAGCATATACAGTATAGTAAATAGTAAACAGCATGCCACGCCCCACCACTGGTCAAAGTAGATAAATAATTACAAATTTATATAGTTGTATAGTCGTATATTGCATCTAACCAAAGATGATGAAATACTCGAATGTCCAGACGAATTACCATTACTAAAGTAGCCTAAAGTAGTCCAGTAGTCTAGGAGGGTTTTGAATGTTATACACAAGTAGGTTTTAAAGAAAATCAAAAGCAAAAGCAAAACGAAACGAAACGAAATTGTAAACCTTATGCTCACCAATTGTTGTGCTCGTTGTAATCGAAAGCAAGAGTTTACTTTACCTTACTTTACTTTACCAATGATGATCCAATGAGATCAACGTATGACTGCACACTGTACGAAGACATGTACTAGAGCAATAACTCTGAGACCTGCGGACGTGCGTTCGGGGTCCAGGGGCATATAGCAGTAGGTGTAAGGCAGCCGCCACGTCACACGTGACACTCGACACTCCCACATCCAAACAAACATACTCAATAGATTAATGACTCACCAAAACCAATCTCCATGGCTAAGCAAGAAAAATATAAGTTGAACGAACGATTCGAAAACCAAACAACAGTGTGTGTCTGCTTTTCTATTGGATTCAGCCTTCAGTTCTCCTTCTCATTTTGTTTTCTGCATTCGCTGCTTTCCATTTGATTTCCACACTGCTCGAACACAACAACATCAGACCGAACTCCAAACAGCCAACAAGCTAATGCCTAATGCCTCTAAAGTTTCCCATTCGTTTCACACAAGTTCAGAATTCAGAATATTTTCATTTGTAACCATTCATTTTCCACCAGAGATTATTTTTTCAAGAGCCAGCTCTCCAACCAATGCCCGAACAAATTCTTTAAAGTAATTTACCAAAACAAAAAAAGAGCACATTTTAGCTGCGCGCGTTGTTCCGTTCTTTAATGGTTGTTGTTCTTCGCGCATCGTACTGCAAATCCAAAATATTTGACGCTTTTGAATTGAAAAGTTTACCAGAAAATTGCCAAATGGGCGTGTCAAAGACAATGCAAGAACAAGAAACAGAAACAGAAAGCATTACAAATTTTAAGATGTGTGAGCATAAGGTACGTCTATAATTTGTAGTTTGTAAATATCGAAAGCAATTTTTGTCATTTCGTTATCTCGTTTATCTTATCGATTGATTGATTGATTGGTTTGATTTTATTTTGCGTACCACATGCCTCCCAGTCCAGTCCAATCCACACCCACAGCCCTGTCCAGATCCAGCCCCAGACATATAAATAGATCTCCTCCCCACATCCTGACGGATGACTGATATTGCATGCTCCCCAGACGACCAAAGAAACTAATTCCAATTGAAATCAATTTTCAAGTTTATTTTTCCATATATACAAACATTTCTTTTCTTTTCTCTTCATATATATGAATTCCTGGTCGCTACAGTTCGATAGGCTACTGAAAAACATTCAGAATTGGAATTAGGACACATCCCCAATCCCACTTTCCTCATTAGATTAGATCTCTTTGTCAGGACGATACACTGTTCTGATGTTTGACCTATTTACCATGTTTTTTTTGTTAGTCCCTCAGTTTCCAAGCGCTTAATACAGCCACACATTTTGCATTTTAGTTGATAATTTGTACCAAAAAGTTTCTAAAAATATATGTATATTGCATTTGCTTTGATGTAGCTTCAATGTGTAATTCGATCGTATTTTATTATGAACCATTTATGTACATATACATATATACATATACATTTATTAATACAAACTCTCGTAGTCTAAGATCTGGCATTTGCCCATTGACCAACGTCCATTGAACACTGTTTATTCTCTGATTTGTTGCAGACGAGATAGAGTCTAACCAGATTACCGATTACCTGGATCTGCTGAAGTGTATGCAGAACAAAGACGACATTGAAGGTCTTCCACCCGGCGGCGGTTTGCAGTCCAAGTGAGTGTGGCGGATCATGCCCCAAAAATAAATCCCATTGATAATCGTTGTGTGCTTCCCATTGCAGATATCACGTTATCGAGCGCACATTCAAGCAAGAGTTTCCGGATCGACCATGTGAAGTACGCAATCTTTTTTATAATCTATAACCTCCGCTTGCCGCGCTTTTGCCACTGCTAACACACGTTTTGTTATCGCTTATCATCATCAATATTCTATTTGAATTGCTTTCGTACTTATAAGTCGGTAGATCGATCGTTCGTTGGTAGCCGTCCCATCAGCCGAGGACTTGATTTACAGGATATATCACTCGCACTGGCAGTCGACACACACCATACCCATTGTTCATTTGATCCCATATTCGTATTCGTATTCGTTTGCATGCCATTTGTCGGAGGGAAGCTCCCAAGTAGTTCCGCAACCGATTAACCATTGTTCAACCGACCGAAAGCTATGTTTACCTATGTATTCTCTTTCTTTTATTTCTAGCTGTATGCATTTGAAGATATATGAGTTTTGTAATACCTAATATTGTACATTTCCAAACCAACTGTAATCAATCAATCAATCAATCAATCAATCAAACAAACAAACAAACAATCAACCAACCAAGCAACAAGTGAACAAACGATAACTAAACACTTCCTCAGCTTCATATATTCTAAATGTAAGGCAAATCCTGTCGTCCTCCCATGCCACACACCCCTCCAGCCTCACATCCTGTCTTTGTCTTGCTTTGACTCATTTCGCTTCGTATCGAGATTTACAGAATGCCGAGCTTCTTGCACGTACGCTCCACTCAATTCTGCATGTTACCTGCCTCTATGGCCTTTAATCCTCAACATCCTCATGTATTCCGCCTGCTTCCTGGCTGTGCCCGCCGCCGTGTCCTCTAACGCTCCACACTCCCGCCCATCAGTGTTAATAATTGTGATCTTGTGTTTCTTGCAGAGCCCAACGCATTGAGTTGCAGATAAACCTTTAAATAGAAACCAGTTAAACAAACGCAGCAAACCTGAACAGAAGAAAGATCTTAAATGCCACACACACACCACACCCACACCCACACCCGCGCCCACAAACAACATGAACGAAACGATGCGAAACAAACAAAACACACACCAAACAGTTTTCTACTTTGATAAACGCTAAAGAAAAACCTACTAATAATGATAATAATAAGCATTACGATACATTTATAGTTTATATGAAGAGGCCTGTCCTGTCTGTCAGCCCCCTCCCCACTCAACAGTACCACAGCCACACACCCACGCGGACACACGAGAACACAATTTACGAACCGAACCTATACTCCAAATGAGTTCTAAAATAGCACTCAGAGAGCAGAGAAATTCAATAAGAAGCACCGAATGGCTCAAAGCCAGCAACAGCAGCAGCAGCAGCACCAGCACCAGCAAGAGCCCTACTCCACACCACACCACACAATAATGATGCATAAGGATCACCCACACACTAAACCGACATTTAATAAATAACCCAACAGGAGACACCTGTCTTTTCTGAATGATTGGCCCCAACCACAGACCACGGCCAGCCAGCTCTATGTGAATGTTTTCTCCTCAGTATCTGTGTCTGTGTGATCTATCGTTCCGTCACCTCTCATTACAAAAGCAATCATCAAACAAACTGTTTATAATGTGCCCGCCCGCCTCTGAGCTCCTCCAGTTTAGTCGCAAAGGAGAGGAGAAACTTCTAAGAGAAAAGTGCGAATGAAAACTTACATTTAAAGCGAAGTGAAATCATTTTGAGGAAGGATAATACGGCGAGAGGCCCTCGCCGCGAAACATTTGTGTACAAGAACGTTTATTATTTCAACAAAACTATGTATTAATATTGATTCCGAAACCATGCGGACTTTTGTAAGTTGTAAAATGTTTGTTACTGAAAACACTTTTTGTTCACTTTTATATATGTATATGGAAAGATGTCGCCAGCCTATTGCGAACACTTAATAATGTAAAGTAAAGAGTAAAGAGTAAAAGTAAAGAGTAAAAATGTTAAACTAAAGAAAACAAAAAAATTGAAAAACCAAACTAGCAAACAAACCTGTAACTATCTATATATGGAAAAGCGAAAAAGTAAATCCTAAACCTTAAGGAAAACAAAAGAAAACGATTAAGAAAATTTACAAAAACAAAAAAAACAAAAGAAAGAAACCCCACAATAATGTCCGATCTGAAAGAAACGAGAATGAAAGCTAAGAACTATTAATTTATAAGCAAGTTGATGATGGAACCTTGAGAGAGAAAAGCAAAATTACGCTCGAGTTTGTAGTAAATGTTGATACAAGAAAAACCCACTGCGATCTGTCCGGACTTATTGGTATTCCCATTTGGGGAGCTAATGGGAACTACTCTTCGTTTAGCTGCACCGTGTACCAGTCGTATCACCTCCAGAAGCGGCATGTATTGTCCTTGGACGCCGTCAGGATCGCGTCGCCCGCATAGCTGTAGGCACAGCTGAAGACCTCGGCCTCGTGTCCGGCCAGCACCTGGGAGCAGTGGCCCGACTCGGTCAGCCACAGACGGGCCGTGTTGTCCGCTGAGGCGGTGAGGAGCATGCATCCGCTGGGGCTGAAGCACACCTTGGACACCTCATCACTGTGCCCCGCCATCAGCGACAGCATCTCCAACTGCTCGGAGGCAGCTGACCCGTCCAGGGCCCAGACCCTCGCCGTGCAGTCGCTGCTGCAGGTGGCTAGAAGTCTGCCCGCCGCATCGAAGGCCACGTCCAGCACCTCGTCGCTGTGCTTGGAGACCAGGTGCAGCTCCTGATCCAGTCGGCGAATGTCCCAAAGCCGAGCCGTGTGGTCCAGGGAGCCCGTGGCAATCAGCAGTCCACTGAAGTTCCACACGCAGTTCGAGAGCTCGGCGCTGTGGCCCCGCAATTGATGGCAGCAGCTGTTGAAGGAGTTGTTAGCTACCAGAATTCAGAGCACAGCAGAATCTCCGTACTCACCTCTTGGTGCGTGTATCCCAGATGCCTGCAGTGTGGTCAAAGGAGCCCGTCAGCAACATCTGCCCATCGCGATTGTAGCGGGCGGCAATAACCTCGGCCCCGTGGTGGGCAAGCTGGTGCAGCTCGTGGGCCGTTTCCACATCATATATGCGTGCCGTGCCGTCCATGGAGGCTGTGGCAATGGCCTCGCCATGCAGTGGATGGAACTCGGTTGCCACCAGCTCGGCTGTGTGGCCAAACAAGGTGCAGAGGCACTGCCCGCTGCTGGCAGACCAGACCTTCGCGGTGCAATCAAAAGAGCCGGTCACGATCTTGTCGCTGCAATATATTGAAAGTGCACAATGGAGGCCAGAGAGTCATCGCGGGACCAATACCTACCATCGCGGCGCGTTGAAGCCAACGGAGAAGACCACATTATCGTGTCCGGTCAGGATGTGCTCCACTTCGGCCGTCTGGGTATCGATCACGTGGCAGGTGCGATCGTAGCTGCCCGTGAGGCACCGTTCCCCACTTCGGTCAAAGCACACGTTGGTCAGCGGCAGGATGTGCGAGGTGTGGCACTTGTGCTGGTAGAATTTCTTCTTGATGGGCTCCCGCAGCTTCTGCTGTAGCTTGTCCAGCGCCAGCTTCAGGGCGCTGAATGTGTTTTGGGAACTGGTCACGCTGCCACTCGCGGGAAGGCAGGGTGACGCCTGGTCGTGGTCTTCCTCCGACGGCTCTTCCTCCGCCTCGGCTAGTGTCTGGAGGAGGATCTTGTCAGCCAGCGGCTCAATGTTTGTTCTGGTCAAAGAGTGCTGTGTGAATTCAGGGTCAGGGTCCCACTCCACGCCACGCCCTCTACTTACTTGGCATCTAGGTCAAGCAGATCAAAGTGACGCACTCGGTCACTGCCCTTCGCCGTGCGGTAACTAATGGCCAGACCTGAGACAAACGAAAAATCCAACATTAAATGAGAAATCGGCTCGATGACCTTTCCCACCTGGCGGGTAGTAGCGCAGGAAGATTTTGTTGGCGCTCATGCTGACGCTGTTCCGTACGTACGACTAACGGACCGAGAAATTCCTTCAGTCAGAGGTTGAAGTTCAGTTGCCAGTTCGTTGCCAGTTGGCTGACCTGCTTTAATTCGCGTTGCATTGGTTTCGACTCACTGCCAGGTGGGTGCCATGCCAAAGCCAGCCAGCGTTTGATCGATTCCGTGTGCTAGGTCTATGCCGGGGTCTGGCACGCTAGCAGTTCAAGGATACAATGTGGTGGAATTCCGAGAAGGAATTGGTAAGCGACTTTAAGTTGTCTCTCAAAACTTGTCTAAATATCTTTTTGTTTTGATTTGAATAATTGTTTGAAATTCATTAAGTGACTACCTTTTCCCCAATTCTCACGTCCCGTCCTTTTTGTCTATCCTTATAACGCAGCTTTTTTGTAAGAAAAAGCTCTCTCGTAGCCAAGTTCTCGACCCGCTTTGGGTCTGTAAGTCGTGTAAAATGGTGGAATTTATGTAAAGACCAATGTGTTTGAGGGTTTCCCGTGGATCCCATGTCAATTTATATACCTTCCTGGGCCACTTCCAGCATTAACACGAATAATCTGTTCATCTAAAGGAATTAAAGTCGTTCTGAAACTGAAGCGCAATCGCTTCAGTTAGATTAACCTTTCCAGCCAGGCCGTCACACGTTACGTTATTTCGCTTCACCCTTGACCTATGTGTGCTCTTTGGCGAACCTAACCCCTTGGCATTTGACATTCCACTAAGGCGACTAGCCGAATGGTCTCTGGCCATTAAACCTAATTAGCCTGTTTAAGGCGATTGCCTTGGTGGGACTGGGATTGGAGGTGGAGCTGGAGCTGGAGCTGGATGTGCTGGGACCCCAGGGGCCAATTGGCTGTCGACACCTGGCATCTGGCATTTTTAACGGATTTAACATATGTCTGACACTCAGAGGCTGTGGGGCACGCACACCACCCACAACCTCAATTAGATTGTCATGCCTTACGTGTCCGCACCTGTCCTGTCCTTAGCCTCGTTTCGGCATTTCGAGTAATTTAATTTGGCCGGTAATCGTTGTGATGGGTTGGGGGCAGTCGAGTGAATTGTCTGACAGATACAGGACGACAGAGTGGAAACCAAGGCAGACACCAAAGGAATGTCCATTACCCACACGAACAGGAAAATTGCCAGCGGAGGAGGGCGATCGCGGGGGCGGCAACATGGCCAATAATGATAAGTAATGATTAGACATTATCGCGCCCAATTTTGTGGCATGGCAGCCGCAACTGAAAGCGACAATGTCCAAAACAAATAAAGTGGCACTGTGGAAAACTAGACAAAGAACTGGCGGAGAGTTTGTGTCTTTGTTAATAATAAAACATTTCATTGAATTCCTATTGAGAGCCGAGAAACAAGAATGGGACTTTGGACTGGGCAGAAAGGGAGCATCCTTATACCTGGGAGCATACATCCTCCCACTCCCGCCTATCAATCATCTGGGGGTCGCACACTCTGCACAATTTTCCGAACAAAAGCAACAGCTGTCGCCCTGCCCTGCCCTGCCATGCCCTGCCCGGACATTTCATGTCTTCATTTGTATGCCAACTGTAATTTGGAGAGGCCCACAAGACTGGGCACAGAACGGAAGCTGGAAGGAAATCAGAGCCGAATAAATGAGAGTACGACTGAGAATAAAATCAATTTAAAATCCTATAAAACGCTTTCATAAACAAAACCAGAGGAAACAAAGCAATGCGGCACAGTCGGGGGTGCAGTCAGAGGCAGAGAGCATCGGGAGGACTTAAATTTATGCTCAATAAATTTTTGTTGATTTCCGGCAGGCGGCTTCATTTCGGCACTCGTGGAGAGATGTACATATGTATGTATGCGCGGATGAGCCATGAAAATGCGGCGTTGCATAAATTATAGGCACACACCACCCACATGAGAGCCGCTACCTTTTGGCAGCGCAACAAAAAATAAAATGAGAGGGTGGGCTCCGAAGCCGCAGCCATGGATACCCTAGCAAATCCATTGTTCCAATGTGATATCGGAATTTGGATGAGCTTAAAGGAAATCCGATCGTTTGGTCGTTTATCCAATAACAGTCCTATCTTCCAGGCTGCTTAAAAAGGACTCTTTCTCTGCCACACACACACATCTTCCCTAAGTAGAGATACCCTTTAAACTGGTATTCGAAAAGCGAAAAGAATATAACTGCCGCATTTGATGCGTGTTCGTTCGACAGTTTGCGGTCTGAGAGTCGGGTTCCGTTCGTCCGTTGCGTTGCCCATCCCGAGGCATGTTGGCTAAGCAAATTATGCTTAAATGGCATAAACTTTAGGAGACTACGGCTTCTAGCCGATGGCCTAACCGTATTAGGGAGGCGGGTTAGCGACCCCAGACCTGGGACCTGTCGCTGAGCGATATATAAACAGATTCTCGGCTTGTGTTTGACAGAGCGACATAAAATTCGATTTTTGTTTCCTCTTCCGCCTGCCTGCCCTGTCCTGCCATAGCCCAGCCCTGCCCCGTCCTGCCGTGTGGCTTCTGTGTGTGGGAGTCCGGACTAAAAGGAGTCGTTAGTGCCTCTCTAATTGGGGAGAGAGACGGGCATCGGAGAGGGTGGGCATCAAACGGTTGGTAATGGAATTGCATCCACTAGAACCTTTTTCACAGATTTAGGCCAAAAACTACCGCTGGATGGCGGCTAAAAGTTGGGCATACGCAAACACAGTGTTGCACTGTGTGCGAGTATGCATTTAGAATCAGAGCCATGTTTGCGAGTATTTAGAAATCGAGAGTTTGGGATTTATTTATTTGAATTCATAGAACATTTGACGTGGCAGGAAGTTTCATTCCCTCTCGGATGGAATCTGCAATCGCTTTAACTTTTGTAAGTGAAATCCTTTAAGGCTTAAAGGCTTCTTAAAATAGAGTCTCTGGCAGCAGATACGAGTGTACCCCATACATTTCCCAAGACCCAATTCTCTAGTCCATAAACAACCTACAACCTGAGACTGTGAGAATCCTCAGCATTTATGAGGCATTCTGTGGCTTAGCCATCGGAAAGTTTATGACTTTGATAAATTAAATTGGGCTTGGTCTAAACACACACACACACACACCTATCCCTTGGCTTACGAATATGTTTGAATATATCAAAAGGATCTGGACAGCGCCTGGCAACTGGGCTAAAGTTTATGGCCCTGCGAGAAAGTTGTGTTGTGTGCAGCCTGTAGACCTTAAACCATTTATGCCCAATCGAAATGCAGACGCATCGAATTGTTGTAAAATTTCATAATACTCCATCCGCTGCCCCACTGCCCCACTCCCTCACTCACCACAACAGGCCCTGTGTCTCGTGTGCTCAGGTTTTTGAAGTTTTATTGTGGGCTTTATTAAATGGCAGGCAGAAGTTTGGCAACAACATTCTGTGTGGTTTTAGCGGTCACATCAAGTATACGCACCATAAATCAGGGCCAGGAGCCAGGAGCCGCAGAGGCTCCATGCTCCATGCTGGCCCCGGGATCTGACCCAATGACGTATTAAAGGCATTAAAATCGCTCTTAAATCGCCAACTTGGCCGTCCGTCATAACGGTAAGTGGTGCTTAAAATGAATTATGCATTGCCGGTGTGGATATTATATATATATTTGCAATATAAGGGTTTGCCAGCCTCCCTCGATGTGGCTAAATGAATGAGCGGATGTGTGTACGGGCCCGAGAAACGATTGCGCCCACATTCGGGTGCACAGATTGCCGGGCAGCAGCCAAAGAGATGAATGGCATGTTAATTTGTGCGCATTATATTGGCTATTTATCTCCGAGTCTCTGAGCTCGACTTACGTGTTGAGGTCCAGCTCTGGTCTGGACTGGCCTGGGCTGGCCTTTGGCCCTCGATAGCCTGCACTTGACAGTGAATGACGAAATAATTTACCCATAGTTATGCAATCGCTTTTTCTGACCCAGCCATTCAACAAGTGACAACAAGTGCCGACAAGTTCGATCTGATAATCTGTTTGTTTCTCTTTACCATTGCAGAACGATCCAATCTCCTACTTTCTACCCCTGTAAACATATAAACAACGATCTGTATAATCGATACCAGTAGCATGCCTGAAGGTAAGTTTATGTTTTAAACATGATTATTGATACGAACTAATCCTCTGTTTGTTCTTGCGGCTGTCATTGGGATAAAGGCATTCGAAATGTTATCGTAAATTATAGAATGGAATCCATTAATGCGCCCAGACATAGACAGATAGAAGCAGAGGGAGCTGAAGAGGAAGAGCCAACATTCATATATTCAAAATTCATTTGCCCCTAATTGTATGCAATGGAAAATGTGCGTGCAATTTATGCAAACAAGCGTCGTCCGTGGGTGTGTGTGTGCTCTCTGATTCCATGTTTGCAAACGACTATTTCTGCTACATATTTCATAAAATACATAGTGCATCTTCCGAGCGAGTTCCTGCTAAAACTGGCATTTAAATACGATTTGGAAAGTTGCTCTTGCGAAACTTTTCCCAGAATATTTGACACAGCTCTCTAGCAAATTGTTTGCTAGCTCTCTAAGTGGCCCCAATTCAAATTAATTCAACCAATAAAATGGCATAAATTATACAAATCATTGCTACACTTTATTATAACCCAGAATGATTTATGCGCTTCAGATACTCGAGGAAATGAGGCACTTTCGACCCCCGGGCCAGAGTGCGAGTGCAGGAACGTCTGGGGTCCCAAATATGAATTTAATTAACATTAATTGGCAACATATTTTTACTTTGCACCTGTGCCGGCAACAAAACTGAATTATAACCGAAAGGAAATGGTCGAGTTAATTGCATATTACGTATACGCCATCCGTGCCGCCACAAGGGCGGCTGTGGAGTGTTGTTATTCCGTTTGCCTCTTGTTTGGCACGAGCTGTTGGCGCTTTCTCTCTCTCTTTCTCTTTGCTTTTGTTGGCCACACTTGTGCTTATGGCCAAACTTTTCTGGTTTGGCTGGCAAAAGTTCTGCCATTGGGCGCTGTAGATTGGGATTTTTGTGATTCTGCAGAGCTCTGCTTCGAATTCAATGAAATCTGTTGGACCGCAAAGACCGCAACTTTCGGCAGCCATCTCGATCTGCTGTGACTCTGTGCTCTCCCCCCCCCCCCCCCCCACCCCCCTTCCCCTCACCAAGCTGCAATGCAGTGCAACTCAATCAACATTTATTACACATACGCGCCGTGGTACAACTAAGGGAAGGAGCGAAACCATACTGGAGAACTTCTGGGCGAGCTGTTGTTCATTTTCAATTCGTTTAATGGGTCACTTGGGTGTGCGGTACGGTGCGGGGCCAAAACTTTTCACGAGCTGGCAAACAAGCCATAAAAGTAAATAGCCAACGGCGCTGACGATGTCGACTCTGTCGGGAAGTAGTTGGGATCGAGAGCATGTGAAGTTCTCGGTTTTCTTGTTAGGTCTTGGGGTACGCCACAAAAGCGCACGCAACCGCACACCTGCAACATTTGTATGCGGCTCGGCGAGGCAGAGCTGAAAATCTGCCAGTCTGCTAGTCCGCCAATCTGCCAATCTCTTTAGTCGGCCACCTTCCACATAATCGGGAATTTAGACATTGTTGGCATTCGTGCAAAATGATATTTGAGAAAGATAATCGCCCTAATCCAATGATATCCCCTCGACACACACACCCAGAGAGAGTGGGGAGGTGCTGGGGTGAGTCAGTCACTCGACTGCTCGTTCCCAGGGCACGGAACTCCTCTCACGTCCTCGGGACACCCGCCTATTAAGCTCACTTTCAAGTCAGCCGCTGGCGTTTGTAAAATAAGCTTAGCTGCCACCCGACCCACCCACGGAGTGTGTCTGTGCGAGTGTGTTTGCTCAGCTCCCGCACGTTTGCCTTTATAGTATTTTGTGGCTTGGCTTTTGGGGCGCATGCAACACCTAAGCACGCAGCGCCAGGGCCCAAAGCCATTCAATTCACTCAACTCACGACTGTACCAACTGAGCGGCGCTGGTGCTGGTGCCACTCGGTTTTATATTCAGTTCTCTGCCATCTAGATTGGTTCTTAAAAAATCTGGGCTTTTTCCTCTTCTTTAATATCACTATAAAATACTCGTTAAATCTTTATTTGTTTCTAAGCTATCACAATACCATCACGATCACCTGGGATAGGCTCCCAAAGATAGCCTTCTACCACACTCCTTATCTGCAATAGCTACTATTTCAACAGAACCAAGACGATTCCCAATTCTGGGGAAAGCACATCATTTGCTAATCATTCAATGCTTATAAATGATTTCGGTAGCATTGCAATTTAGATTGAATCGCACTTACTCGAATATAAATTTCCGCCCATATATCTGCCGGGTACGAGGCGATGCCTGGCTGTGCCTGTTCGCTTTGTCACATTTTAATCGCTATCCAGAGTAAAGTGAGTTCTGAGCTGGAAGCCAACACAAAGGGCACGGGGAGTGGCGGGGCTGGCACAGAATAGCCGAGATACTTTCAATGGGGATTACAGATTACAGAATGGCCCGATAAGCGTGCCATGGTCGGGGGGGTCTCCTGCCTGCACAGCGTATGCAGGCGGCTTCTGGCCCACTGCAGCACTCCAGCACTCTTCACTTTGGTGGACGTATAAATACATATGCATACATATATGTATAGTATATGTATACATGTGTGGTATATGGGTTTTTTTCGTAAATTTATTGCGTATCATCAAACGGAGGGGGCGAAGGGATGGCTGCCGCCACAGGCTGCCACCTGGCGACGCAGCGGCACAACTCGTTCATGTTGGTACGTTAATTGAAATTCGTGGATCCCAGGTGGGGCGTTCATCCATCGACAAGGCCGTGGGTTGGGGTCGGCGCTGGGGCCGGGACCGCGACCAGGACCATGAACGAGACTTCAATTTATGCGCACATCCAACGTGCCCCGTGTGTATGTCCTGTTCTGCTTGCCGCTTGCCGCCTGCCTGGTTTTACCGTGCTGCCTGTTGCCCATCCAAGTTATTCCCATCCACATCCTCCTCCTGCACACAGGACTGCAACGTGTTGAATTACATAATTTAAAGTTTCAGCTCCAGCTGCAGCATAATCCCGTGCAGAGATTGCTATTGCTGCCAACAAGTGTCACACACATGGTGCACGTGGACCACACCCCCTTTATTAGATCAGTGGCCCTCGGCCCCCGGCTGCGGTGCAGGGAGAAACTTTCCTTAACACGAACTTTGCTCGGGCACCGCCTGGCCAGAGCCAAAGCCAAAGCTAAAGTTGGAAATGAAATTCCTGGTGCAAGCACTAGTCTTTGTATAAACTCCTGGCTCCTGTTCCTGGGGCTGTGGCAAACAGGAACTTGTCGGCCTGTCTAACCCTTGCACCGCCCCGTCGGCCCTCATCAATATCCTGGGCGGGGCTGGGGCATACGTAATATGCAAATGTAATCAGTGCCTACATTTTATGTTCCTTCCGATGAGCGATGCGATGCGATGCGATGCCTGCAAGTGCGAGAGCACCCCGGATTCTCCTTCCGTGTGCGTGAACGTGTGCGTGTGCTCCAGTTTTATGTCCACATGCATTTGTTTATGTGTGTTTTATGTTCGAGCGCAACTTTGTGCGGCAGCCCAGCACCAGAAATACATAAAAATGTACGTGGCTGCTGTCCAGGCAGATTTGAGGTGGAACTGGAACTGGAACTGCCGCCCGGTAATACACGTTAAATGTAAATAAACTACAACAATGCCTCCCTTTGGGCCCACACACACACAGACACACCCCACAACATGGCATGAAAATTGGTTTGTAAAAGGTCGGACTTCTGTTTCTGTGTGGATGATATGGTTGTAGCCCGTGGATCGTTGATAGTCCGGTCAATGACTGCTCCCAAAAGGTAATCTGTGTCATCAGGTTGTTCAGAAAAAGAGTCTGCTATTAAACTTTTGAAGGCAGAAGATGTTTGAATCAAACACTTGAATAATGAGTGCAATCGATTTGATCACCAATGCTCAAGCTTGGTGTCTCCAATAAGAGTGAGCGAGAGAGCTATGTTCAAAGCATTGGAACACAGATCTGCTTCTCGGGAGACTCTTTACTCTCCTTACTTTCAATATTACTATCACTCTGTTTGAAGACCCAAGTATTGCCGCTTATCGCTCTATAAATTCTTCGAATTCGTGGGCATTTCATCTGTTATGAGTCGAAACTTGATTGTGTGATTGGTTCGGGGGTTAGTTCTTGAAATATAACCGGGGTCAAAAAGGTGTGGCAGGAACCGCTGAAATCGGGTGGATCTGTTCCATCTGCTTCTGTCGGCACTCGTTCCTCGGAAGGTCGCCTCGATTCGCTGTGGCTTCCCCTTTTTTATTTATGTTAGCATGCAAAACTGTTTTTCCCACTGCAGCGCCAGCCGCCTCCTACATAGTATTTGTGCGCCTCTCCCAAATGGAAAACATCTCCATGTGGAAAAAGTTTTGGAATGCCAGTCCGTCTTTCCGACTGCCTGCCCGACTGCCTGACTGTCGTTCCATCCGGCCATCGGAGGAAAAACAAGTGCAAAAAATGTGCGGCTATTCCTGTTCATGTCTAAACAACGCCGGCATTGTTGCTAGTCCCAAGGATTGTTGCAGGATTCAGCTCTGTGCCGTTCTCGTGGCTGTCGGTTTTAATCAATTCAAAACGAGATGATGCACAACAACACTGACAGCGGGTGCACATGGGGAGAGGGTGCCACATGTGCCCCGAAACCGGGCTGACGGCAGCGGGGAGCCATTAATGGTTTTTCCCACCCCTGCCCTGCCCTGCCTTGAATCCCGACGCGATCGGAATGGCACATTATTGGCTAAAGTGAGCGCATATTTCTGAAACTAAATGGGAAAATCTGTTCTGCAAACTGGCACCCGCCGGAGTTCTTCAGCGAATCCCCTTGAAGCAATTCCCATTCATGTTTTTTTATGCCATTTTTCTGGTTCGGTTCGGTGCGGGGCCAAAACACGATAGAACAACTTTGTGTGCATGTGGTTTTCACAGGCTCTCATCTCTCAGTGCTCAGTGCCCAGTGCTCGGTGCTTCTGTGTGTGAGTGTGTGAGTGTTTGTCGCTTTTTCAGTAATTGAATGCTTCAATTTAATTGGAACTGCACGCCCTGTTGATTCCACATACAAGCCGAATGCACGAGAATATATACATATATATAATATTGACAGCAGCCCTCCGCTCAGCTCCGCATCGGATCGAATCGCATCGAGTTGAGCCGCGTACTTGACACTTTCACGCTCATACCCACACCCCAACAAACAAAAAAAGAAAGAACCACTCACCTGTCGAAGGTAATTCCATGGAGAACAGCGCGAACGTTGACTTACGAGTATTCATGCCGCGCTGACTTGGTGCAACTTTTTTTGGCAGCTTACAATCCTGCAAATATACAATGAGTTGGGGAAAAAAAACCGAGCGTGGGAAGTGTGGGGGCCATGTCTGCCCTCCGTCGTAATTGCCATGGCAGCTCGTTAGCTTCAAAGAGCCGACGGCGGATGAGGCTAATGGCAGAGCTAATACTGAGGCCAATGCTAATGCCATTGGCCGCAAGTAAAGCGCCCGATGGCCACCACTTGTCG